TACTTTACATCTGTTTGCTTCTCTCCTGCATTTGAATAGAGCTGAATTCCCAATAAAACTCACACCAAGAATGATAACCATAAAGATAACTATAACAATAACTACATTAGCAGCCACACCTATCGATGCATGATAAGATTCTGTTTATTATAAGAATGCGCTGTAGTTCTGTCATCCGCCACTTTAAATGTTTTAAAGTCAGGTGGATTCTAATTGGCTACCAAATGTTTTTTATTGTTCAACAGTTGGAAACAAATAATTCTGTAAGTGATTCCAACTATAATGTTGCTTTATTCCTTTATCGTTATAGTTGTGATATGGACTGTCCTGTTTTTATATTTAGAATGATTATTAAAGTTATATCTGTATTGTTATCGTTACAGTTATTGTCCTTTTTTCTGTGTCAGGCAACGGAACAAGTATGAAATGAAATGCATGAAATGCAACCCCCCCGACCCCCCCCCCCCCCCCACAACCACACCCACACACACACACACACACACACACACATAAGAAGTCTCTTATGATTCGCAATGTTGCAAAAGAAAAGGAACATTGTGAAACAGATTTCTATGTGAATATGTTTTAAAATATAAATTATTCCTGTGTTTCAATGCTGAATTTACGTTCTAATCATTCTAATAAGCTGATTTGCTGCTCAAGAAACAATTCTTATTATCAATGTAAAAAAAAAAAATAATTTCTTGCCCCAATTTTAAAAAAAATGACTGGGATTTTCTTTGGGTTAATGTTAGGGTTAGAGAGGCAGATTATTCCCAGGTGTAGACAGTAATGTTTCTTGGCTGATCATCTGTGAAACTCTTGTAGTCTAACTGCAGAGAACGTTCCTGATGGAAAATGTCTGTGCATTACCTTGAAGAGCCAAGAGGCCAGCATGCGCAGAGGAGGGATGAACAAGGGTCTGGCCACGGCTGTGTCTGTCTCCACTCTGATCCCAAGATTATCTCTGATCTGAAACACCAGTTCAGGATCTTTTGTATTTCATTTCTAAGTTAACTGTAAACAAGGCTTTGTGGGGAACGAAGGAAACCTACCTTGGCCAGCTTGTGCCAGAGCTCGTAAAGGTAACTGAAGACCTTGGCGTGGATGCGGGCACAGCGGATGCTGTTCACATCACCTAGAATCCCCAAGATCCTCCTCCAGAGAACGAAGGCCGAGTCGGCGTGCCAACCGGTCAAACTGCCGCCGGCGATGATGCTGACGTCATCAGCCAGAAACTCACTGCTGTCTGTAAAGAAGAGCAGACGCACAGAGTGAGCAACTAACTAAACCTTTAAGAAGCCTTGAAGGATCTTCTGGTTGATGTTGGCTTGGTTAAGAAATAAATGGCGTTTAGCCCTATAAAGTCTGTTTATCTATCTATCTTATTTTATTTTATTACACACATTCTAAGGTCTCTAAATGATCAACATGATCCAAATTTAGCCGAAAAACCCGTTGCACACAATCTACTACATTCCTTCCATCGTCTGATTGATGCCTTTCAGTATAATATTTTCTCCCTTTATCTACCTGTTACATGTGTCTTTTTGTTGTGAATTTTTTAATTGTAAAGTAGACATAAGAATAACTTTGATATTGTTCGTAATATTTCAAGACGAACACATACTGGAAAAATCATGTTCAGTTGTCAGTCTCAAGTATGATCATCAGGCCTTTGATGAATGTTTATTTGTTTATTTATCTCTCAGTCATTATATTGCATTGCATTATACGTTTTGATCATAAAACTACTTAAATATCATCTTATTAAGACACAATATTGGGAGATATAGAGTGACGACGGATATTTATAACATTTTATGTTAGTATCTGTGATACAGTTATAAAGATCTCATTGATTTACATCACAAGCGATCAGAATTTCATCTTACTTTTTGGTCATATGAATATCAGCATCTACACCAAATTGCATATTTTCGCTCAGTTTGTGTTTCTGAATAAAACTGAGGTGTATTTTTCTGCTGAGCTCCATATTCTCACTATTATAATATATGAGCCATAAAAACTCATTTGGTGGAACACTGAGAGTATGTGTTCGTATACGGTTTACTTCCTTCGTTTAAAATTCTGTCTAATAATTAATAAGACAGAACTGTTAAACTGAGACCGCTAACTAATGAAGTGCTCCAATGTTTAGGCACAGTCGAAATAAAAGTCCCACTTCTCACACATCAGCCAAACAGAAATAATTAAATAATAAAAAAATGCCATGTTCCTGTCCGTGAAGAGCATTTCAAATGAGTTATTTCTGAGGTTTCATTTTGGTCAAGATGTTGTCTTAGAAGAACGCTGCCTGTGTGAAGGTCTGGAAATATGCTGCCTTGGACGGATGGAGGTAGAGTGAAGTACACAAGATGAGTTTGGTCTGAGGGAGGTTGAGAGGATGAGTGCAATACCCAGATGGTGAGGCACATTCATGGCATCCTCCAGGAGCTGAGGGCCCTCACAGCAGCCATGAGGCACGAGGAGAGCCGGAGACACTGGGGGACAGTGAGGAGGGGCGGCACAATCTGACCCTACACAACAACACAGTGATGGATGGAAGGGTGGTGGAATCACATCTTACACAAACAGGGAAAACAAACACCCTTACAGACACATGAGGCACAACAGCTGATCCTGATATAATCATTGAATAATCAGTAGCAGATGCTAAGATGATTTAAAGCAGTGCTTCTCACCTTATTCAAAGGCCCGACACTTCTCTGAAAACAAACTTCAGGATTACAGGCTTTTTGAATGTACTTCAAAGGCTTCCCCTCTTTTTAACCATAGAATTTACATGACTTTTACAATTGTTCGTGATTTACTAAATAAAGGGGCGGTCACGCAATATTATGTTTGGACGCTGCAATGGTTGTGATATCATGTCACACTCTGCAGTCCCGTTTTTAATCATAAATTCAACATATAAAAAAATCATAATATGTATGAATGTATATTTTTGTTACAGCATTTAAAAAAAAATTTTTTTTTGGGGGGGGGGGGGG